ATTAAATTACCCTCGAGTGATGGCAAAATGAAAACCTCATAAATTCATCTAGTATCAACTGCCACAATCACTAATAGCATGGTTATAATAAGTCGTCTGCCTTTTTTTGTGTTCTAGTGTGCGAGACATGGCTTCTGCCCTTCTATATTACCTCAAATTGCAGCAATTGATTTATATTTTTCATGATTTTGGGTTGTATGGAAGCTTAAATCTAACCAGGCAGGTAGAGGCGAGCGCCAGTGCAGTGATTAGAATGCTTGAGCTAATAACCACAAAGGCAGAAACTTCCAGCAACTCCAACAGGATGGATTTGCTACGATTGAGGGTGCACCTATTATCTCTTCACTAAGAGGTAGCAGTGCGCGTTGCCAGAGGTCTAATGCCCACCCCAACACCCGTGCATGATCATCGCATCGAGGTGCTGGCGAAGCACAGCAGTCTGGATCATTCTGCTTGCACTGGTCCACATTTTCCTAGATATCAAGTTTGGAGCCCTACCAATGCCGCTTAACTCGGCCAAATCAACCCCCAATCTCCATGTGTTTATATTACCCCTTACCTAACTTCACTATTTTCCTTTGCTACCATTCTGCTGTAAATTATTTCACACCCTCCAACCACATGCTTTGGATTTGCAGATCTCCACGTGGTCTTCTGCCTTGCCTTGGCTTATTACGACTTTAGTAGAGAGCATCAAAACACGATCTTGTTTACGTCAGAGAAATTCGACTAAACGGCCACAAACAAATATTTGTTTAAGACGCCTTCGGAGGAAACAAATGCCGAGGCAAAGGAAACAGCACTCTATTCATTATACTGGTGGACTTGCCAGTGGGTGACCCTACTTTCAAGAACAACTTGGACTTCAGAGGATGGATAAAACGTTAATGTTTTGTCTTTGGTTTCACTTACGATGTCAGAAAGCATGTTAGATTTTGCGCGTCACCTGCCAGAACCTATTACTAATCACTGTTGGTCGGGACTATCTATGACACCCAGTTATGTAAATAACGCCCTTTTATAGCTTAACTCATCATC